TTTGGTTGTGCTTTTTTAAATGTAACTTATATTAATTAATTTATAATTATTTTAGGTTTAGTAATGTTACTCATTTAATTTTAAGTACTATTAAAAATTATTTTTATTAATTAGTAAAATTTAGTAATTTAGTTTTTTATTTAATATTTTTGTTGTATTTTATTAATTTGTTTTAGTAATTTTATGTGCTTTGTCATTTTTATTTTTTTTATAAAACTTGTTACTTGATTCATAATTTCAGTTTTAGTAATTTTAGTAATTAAAAATAGTATTAATAATAATTTTTAGTAATTAGTAAAATTTGTAATTAAAAAAATATATATTTTTAAAGTATTAATTTTTCATTTAATATTTATATTGTATTTTATTAATTTGTTTTAGTAATGTTGTTATGTGCTTTTTTCATTCTTATCCTTTTTTTAAATATATAACATATGTTACTTATTTTATAATTCATAATGTCAGTTTTAGTAATTTTAGCAATTCAGTTTTTTTTCATCTAATATTTATTTTGTATTTTATTTCAGCTTTATTTCAGTTAACAAAAATAATTTTAATAGTTTTAGTTAAAGGGCACCTATTATGCCCCTTTTTACAATATGTAATATTGGTCTTGGGTGTCCCCAGAATGTGTCTGTGTAGTTTCAGCCCAAAATACCCAACAGATCATGTATTATAACAGCTGGAAAATGTCATTTTTGGGGTGTGTCTAAAAAAAGAGCTGTTTTGGAGTGTATCGCTTTAAATGCAAATGAGCTGCATATTCCCGCCCCGTCTCCAGAAAAGGGCGTCACGTATACGTCTCTCTGCATTGCATATCTACAGCAATAAACAGCCGGTAGAAGCAACATAACTGAGAGCGAGACAACAGGTGTTTAGCCATACATATGGGGAGTCAAATGCAATGAAAGTGGGACGAAACAGCGCGATCTTACAGAGCTCGCTGCACGCTGACCTGTCATCGGCGCGAATCAATGGACCGAGCCACACTACCGAACGAATCTCACGCTACGAACGGTGCAAACTAATCTCACAAGTCAATTAAAAAATACTTAATGTACGCACACAAATACAGTTAAAATGCTAAGCACTATAATGACATGACATTCACAAAGGAGTCTGGAGTGATACACGTATTTAGATAGATTTTGAGGCTCATTAACTTGAAAAATGAAAGTAATACACAGCGTCCTCAGCAGCTCAGAAGTTGGGAGAGAATGAAGACTCTTTTTAAATGCAAATGAGCTGCATATTCCCGCCCCGTCTCCAGAAAAGGGCGTCACGTATACGTCTCTCTGCATTGCATATCTACAGCAATAAACAGCCGGTAGAAGCAACATAACTGAGAGCGAGACAACAGGTGTTTAGCCATACATATGGGGAGTCAAATGCAATGAAAGTGGGACGAAACAGCGCGATCTTACAGAGCTCGCTGCACGCTGACCTGTCATCGGCGCGAATCAATGGACCGAGCCACACTACCGAACGAATCTCACGCTACGAACGGTGCAAACTAATCTCACAAGTCAATTAAAAAATACTTAATGTACGCACACAAATACAGTTAAAATGCTAAGCACTATAATGACATGACATTCACAAAGGAGTCTGGAGTGATACACGTATTTAGATAGATTTTGAGGCGCATTACCTTGAAAAATGAAAGTAATCCACAGCGTCCTCATCAGCTCAGATGTTGGGAGAAAATTAAGATTTATGTTCAGTCTTACATCCAAACACAGAGCATCGGGATTGCTTGCGAGACATTGTTGACGTTACAGCTGCTCGAGCGGGGACCCACATGTGGAATAACACAGCAAGGCGAGGTCAACGGCTCTCGTTGGATAACCCAATGGCTTTGATGGCCATGGGCGCCGAGTCCCAGATGAAACCAGACCTGCTGCCGCTCCCAAAGGATTTGATTCCCCCGCCGATTAATTTCGACCCGTCGATGTGGAACCAGTACGCCGCTGCCTTCACAAACGGGCTGACCATGAAGACCAATGAGATTTCGGTCATCCAAAATGGCGGCATCCCTCTCACAGGAAGTCTCGCTGGAGGACCTTTATTGGGTTCTACTGGGTATTAAAACAAATGGTAGCATAATTCGATAGCGAAAAGTGCTACCTATCAGATTTTGCTTCCAGCATGAAATTGATAAGGTGTGAGGCTGTATTAACATGTACACCCACCCCAACCCTAAATACAGTGTTGGTAGCATAATCTGATTGGTAGCATTATTTGTCAGAACACCGGCCCTATGCAATGTGACGTCACACTGCATGAGACTCAAAAAGGCAGGCCTTGTGAGACTAACTTGGTTTAAAAACTGAGGAGAGGGTGGATTTTTATCATTGTAGGGTGGTTGTGTTCACACACTGCCAACACACATTTAAGTCCAAACACCATGTAAAAGTGGATTTTGCATATTAGGTGCCCTTTAACGATAAAAATACTGGCCCAATGTTGTTTTGGACCCCATTTACTTTTATTGTTTCAACTATTTTTCAAGGAAACAGATTTGAAAACAACTTGCAGGTGAGTACATGATGACAGAATTGTAATCTTTGGATGAAATATTCCTTTAAACTGTCTGTATATGAGGTTTATTTTTAGGATCCAGTGTTGTGATGTCTATAACAGAGCCAAAGCTCTGGATGAGCCCATCTGTAATGAGTTTCCACCATCAGACTACACTGTAGTGCCACCACTAACACCTCAGCAGAGCTTAGAATGATAGCAGTTGACATTGCCTCTCTTGAGGATCTATTTAGAGCACAACACATTCTTTACCAGGGTAAAACTGAATTTGGGACTTGGGAATATAATAGGAGGGAATGGGGAAAAAGCTATGTGTGTGGTGCGTGTGAATTTGAGAGAGGTCATGGCCTCAGTCGGCTGTACTCTCTCTTACCTCTGATAATAAGCATCCCATTCGTTCTCTCCATCTGCTCTCTTCTTGTCCCACTGCCCTCCCACACGTCCAGTGTTTGCGTCCCCTGCTAGACACCTGCAACATCTGTCTGCGGTGCTGCCACATGGTTAAGTGTCTGTACTTGTAACACAAGGATTGCAGGTTAGGTCACACGGGTGGCTTTAACTGGGGTTACTCCGACAGTGCCCCATTAAAGAGACAGTGTCATTTGTGTGTCATTTACTCTGTGGCTGCACAATACTGGATAAAACTGTCGTTTCAGTCATTTTTGTTCTGCAATAAATAGTGCAATATAAAAAAAACAGGAATTTCCAGCAGATGACTTCAATAACTATATTTTGAATCTAGAATGATTAGGGTGATTTTGTTGGGCAGTGCATCTGCATAGAAAATAAAAAATAAATGAATAAATAAATAAAAATTAAATAACTTTTTACTTTGAAGACTTCTTTCCATGTTCTGAACCATCTTTTTAGCTCTAAATGATAAAAAAAAAAGGGAAAACAGGTGTTCACACTTGGGCACATGCTTTACACAATGTTTTTTCAGTAACTATAAAGTGAACCATAAAATTAAAAATATCAGTTAGTAAAAAAATATATATATTTTTTTTTTCATTATTTTATTTTATTTTATTTTATGGTTTTAGTTCTAATTTCATTTGAAGTTTTGGTTCTGTATAGTACACTAAAATTACAATGCTGATATTTATGTCTTAATTTCTTTTTCTTTTTTTTTGTAAACATTAAGCCATCAGGCTTTTTTGATGGAATGCCATCAAATAAATATATGCATGACATATATTTGTTTTCACTCGAAATGGGTAGGTATATATTTATTCAACTAAATCACAGCCTTTGCGATGTTTATCGCATTAAGTCATATTGCAGTAAACTACATTCCGATATGTCGTGCAGCCCTAATTTACTTGTTGTTCCAGTACTGCATGACATTCTGTCTTCTGCATATCACTAAAGAAGGTACAGTTGCTAGTAGAGTTGTCTCAGAACTCATCCTTCCCTTTTGTGCAACATAAAACTTTTGTTTTGTTTTGTTAGTTGGCATTCCTCTACCTCCAAGCGGTTGGGCCTCAGAAGTGTGTGACTCGAATTCCTAGGTTTTGAGGGTATTGGTTGCGCTTCCTGCTGTCTGAAGACAGCTCTGCCAATGATGGAGGCTCCCTTTAGGCTGGCCCCCTGGTACACCCCTCCTTGGAGTCCTGAAATTTGGCTCACACAACATCCTGCAGTGTCGTGCCACCCTTAGCACTCGAAGTCATTGTCGTAGCAGCACGACGTTGCGGCCCCCTGTCCTCAAATGACATCCAGAACCCCCTCTGATCAGCTTCCTGCTGCGTCTTCACGAGCCCACAGTCGCATGGAATATCAGCATGGCTCTTTGGGCTTGACATTAAAACAAACATCCCCAGACGCATCTCATGAGTGGAGGCCCGCACCTCGCTTTTGCGTCCCATCGGTTCCAGCTCATTCATCAAACATGATTTCACAACTATATAATTTCCGTGGCTTTGGAAAACAGAAGCAGCTGCTGTCTAGTTCTTGTTTGTCAATGGTGCTGTATGATTATGACTATTGATGTGGTTTTCTGTGTGAAAAATTGTAAATATTGACCGGCATCATTAGCAGTCAGCAGATAAATGTGTATATAATTATAAGTATGTGAAGCATGAAAGAGTGTATGCTGTCATCTTTTGATGGATAGATGGATTGACCGCAGGCAGCTAATCTGCTGGCATTCATTACGCATCTCTTACAGATGAACCAAATTTATTATAAATATGTTTTTATCAACTCTGGTGATGATTGATATAATTACGAGACAAGATGGAGTAGACATGCAGTTTAAATAGTGTTTCATTACTGGAGAAAAAAAAAAGAAAATTAACTGACTATGAAAACAAAGAAAAAAAGGACATAAATTTACATGACTAAACTCTTCTAAAAGTGTTTAAATAACTTACAATATAAAATATTGACAGAAAATGTAATTATGAGTATTTTAACCGTGATTATTGATTCTTAAAGATGTCTTTTAAACTTCCAAGGTAACAGCGATAATGAGAGAATTCAAATGGCCAATAAGAAAATTCCTTTCAAATATGCCCGGCCCGTAGAGGAATGGCTTCAGGAGAAAGGTAACTTCCTCCTTTTTAATTTATTTACATTTTTTTTATTTTAATATTTATAGATTTTACAATTTTTCTTTAGTTAAATTGACTTATTTATAATATATAGATAAATAATTATATTGTATATTGTGTTGCACCCATCACATTTTTGCTTTTCTTTTGCCATTTCAATGCTCGTTGATCTTTGTATTGATCTTAAAGACAGACTAAATAATACATACATTGTTTAATGGTTCAATATTGGCCTAGTAAACCTTTGTTTTAAATGTAAACATTAAAACAAATTAACATAAACATAAATTTCACTTGACTTTCTGGCTGATATAAAGGAAGGTGGACAGACAAGGTTTAGTGAAATACAAGAGCTGTTGCAGGCAGCAGCTTGTGGCTGCACAGGAAGTATCATCCGAGAAGAAAACACCAGCATGATTATTGTTTCAGACATTAATTGCATATCATCAGGAGCCCTCGTCATTATAATAACTGGAATTACTCAAGAAATTAGGACTTTTTTATTATAGTCATGAAGTGATGATTTCTGGACTCATTTAAATCAGAAATTGTTTATTTATTTACTTCATTTTCTTTCTGAATTATGATCTGTGTCATGCTGCAAAGCTTTTATTCACAACCACAGAATATTTTGTCTATTATTTTCACTGATTCTTGAGACATATGACTAAACATGTTTGAAAACATTTCATCTGTCATTAGTTTTGAAAATAGCAACAATTCTGCATTAATATTATTTAGAGATAATTGCTAGAATGTTCTCAGCACAAATAATCCTTTTATTTTCTCTTTCATTTTATCAAAATTATCTTAAATACAATATTTTACTATATCAAAATGTATCCCAAATAATAATTATTTTTATTTATTTTTTTAATATTTTATGTCCCACGAATCAGTGTTTATAACCAAGACATTTTTTTACAGTAGACAACGTTTTCAGCATTTTTACAGTAAGAATGACTCTATCATGTTAATCTTTCTCTTATCTCAGAATGCATTCATATGCCAGTCATAAGACATTTTCTTTTTTAATAGTATGGGTGATCTCTCTTCATAGAGGCAATTATAGTAAAACTTACTGCAGCCATCAAGAGCTTGTAGCTAGACTCATTCAGGGAGACATAATGGGTCTGGTTTATAGTCTGGCCCTCCAAATGTTTACGACGTGTCTCATGGTAGTATAACCCTGAGCATTTCGGAAGAAAATTAAGCCATAGTGATCCAGCACAACCATCTAAGTCATTGTACTTTGGTTGGGTAGGTTAAGTGCCTAAAAGAGACATGAATCTTGTTGCCGAACAAGATATTTTGTGCTCTTATACCGACCCATAAACATGAAATGTTCTGGATCTTTCTTGCATCCTCAGGGCGGCAGTTAACGATATTCAACACCCAGGCCACGATAAGAATTGGTGGTTCAGACCGCAAGAGGCCATTTCAGGGCCAACTCTCCGGACTCTACTACAATGGCCTCAAAGTGCTCAGCATGGCTGCTCAGGGCAACCCTAACATCAAAATCAATGGCAGCGTCCGCCTGGTGGGGGAGGTTCCCTCCGCAGGTTCAGCCAGATCCACGGCCCTCCCCCCGGAGATGTCCACCACCTTTATCGAGACCACCACCACCATGTCCACCACCACCACGAGAAAACACCGCACTCCACCCACAATACAGGTACGACCCTAGACACACAAGCACGAATTCAAATGAAGACATCAGTGGGAACTGCTGAGACTAGTAATATAAGTTAGTCATCTGAAGGCCGTTCAAGAACTTCAAGAACGCTAACTATAAGTTAACTATAAAAATAAAGATATTAGTGTCCAGCTGCTTTTCTGACATTTCATCAATACTGGGGCACATGCCTGCCATAATCTTTTTTAATATAAATTAATATAAATTGTTGTTCACAAGCTGCATGTGCAATTAAGTTTTTACTGCATTGTGCTTGACAAATAATAGCACATATTTGCTATTTTTGCTGTTTTGTTTCCTACAATGGGCTGTAGGCAAATACTCGCCTCATCTAGTGCTGTTTTTGTTTTCTGTCTTTTAAAATATCTTGTTACATCAACGGACGAATTATGTCACCTGCTAGTTTAAGTGCTCAAATTTTTTAAAGATGAGTAGATTCTGATTGGCTGTCAAAGTTTTTATTGTTTATCAGGTTTATAGCTTGTAGTTGTATTGTTTATCAATTTATAGTTGTGGTGTGAACTTCCCTGTTCTCATAAAATGTTTAAAACTATCTTTATCATAATCATTATAGTTAAAGTCCTTTGTGTGAAAAGGTCTTAAGACTGACTATAACTTTTTTGCATAAAAACTATTGGTCTAATGAGTGATTAAGTAATTTAATTTGTAGAAGATCAATTGTTAATTTCTGCATACTTGTATATTTTATACTCCTATTCTTTTTTTCTAATATTATAATATTTTTTAATTTTTCTCCTATTCTAATTTTTATTTTTTATTTATTTTTTTTATTGTTCTTATAGTGAATGGACCTTATGACTGATTTTAACTTGTAATTAAGTTTCAGCATAAATTGGTCTAAGACTTGCTAGCTGGTCAGACAAATTTTTCAGACACGATTTTAACATAATGCTGTGTTTATGCGACTGGCATGTGTTTTCGCATATGTGCCTACATCTCCTCATCATTTCTGATTTGGGAACTACACCACAAATAACGTCTGGCCCAGATTTACAATTCAAATAAATGAGGACACAAATTTCCTGCAACACAACATGGAAAATAAATCTCCGGAATGGATTTTTGGGTGGTTTTCTGCACAGCTACACCTTCCATTCAGCAGAACGTCTCAGTGCTGCTGACACCGTTCTCCTTCATTTATTACGCTCTCAGTTTGGTCCAATGATTTCCAGTGAGCTTATTTGTCAAGCTTAGACCTATTTCTTCAGCTTTGAGTTTGCAGATGCAAATTTAACTGTGGTATTGAAATCAGAAACAATGATTGGACCGTGCCCAGGTTATGTATGTCACATATGTGGACAGGGTAAACACATTACAACAACAAATCATTGTGTCTGTGTGGGATGTCAAATTGTAAATATGCAAAACAGAGGCTTTTGCTTCATTTAGGAGAAGTCACTCAACCAGGTGCATCTGAATGATTTTCCAACAGTATGCAAACAGCTTGCTCCAGTTAGTTGCTCCAGCGAGCGCAAGCGGTGTCCACGACTTAATTTTATTAAGGTTGAGAGCCTCTCTGACACATTTTTGTTTTCATGTTTTCATAACCAAAGAGAATTGTTTATAATTCTCCATGTCCTTTAGATAAAGACACGAAAGTAGGCGAACAAAGCTTCATTCGCACACTCTTGACAACCAAACAGAGTGCTGCCCACATAAAGTTTGACCGGGAGCCAATAAAACACTGTGGTTTGGCGAAATGAGATTAGACTGGCCATTTCATAGGCATCCTGGTACAAATTGAGCTGGTGGAAGTGATATTAAAGCCATCAGTCTCCTCTGTGTCTGAGACACATTTTGGCAAGAGACATTTGTAATCGTGAAGCCCCCACAGTTGACTGCATGAAGAAACTTTGTGACTGACTAATGATAGGAGAATTGGCGCTACAAATGTGTTCTTCCTAGTCGGATCATTTGATGAATTCGAAATGCATCATTTTGGTTAAGTAATTACATTTGTGGAAAATGAATTGTTAATTGCATCATAATTAAAAGAAAATGTGAAAATGTTCATTCATTCATTCATTTAGAATCATTTATCATTTAAACATTTACTTATTCCAATTAATCATATAACCATTTATAATAATAATTTAACAACATTTTTATATTTATATTATATTTTATTAATTTATATATTTTTACACACAATGGTAACTTTCCCAAAAACACCAACATAACAGAAAATATTTTACTATAATACCAACTTAATATTACATTAAACATTAACAAGTCTCGCTATTTATTTAACACTTTATTTTAACATTTACTATCTCTGTCTAGCCCTGTGCAAAGCATAATGGGAAGTGTATAATTTTGAGCTACTTGATTGAAACATCTTCTTTCAAAATGAAAGCATAAAGTTAAGCCAAAGAATAACTTTTCAAATCAGTTGCATGATGCAATCTTGTTTAAACAAGAAAACTGTTATTTGTTTGAATTGTTTAAATAAAGTGAACAGCATCAAATAAGCATTTTGAATGTGTTTATATAATCGTTTCACTGATTCATACATGGATCAGTTCTTTTATATTATTTTTTCATTGTTGTTCAATCCTGTGGCTGTGTGGTTTCAAGGGATATTTGTCTTCATGAGTAAGAGATTAGAGATGTCTTTCGAGGTTCATTTCAAGTTTTCATAGGACAGTGTTGTGAAGCAGTAATTTTCCATTGCTTTTGCTTTAGTGTTAAAACACTTGGTGGATTTGTGCTGGTCAGACAAAGTTTGACTGAGCAGTGAAACAGACACAAATCAAGCGTATCGTTAGTTTTGGCAGGTCACGTGAGTAAAGCTTGCGTCTGCTGACTCTCTCTATAGCAATACAATGCCTGTCACATCTTTCCTAAGGTCTATCCAGTATTATTCAGCAGCTTTATTACTTGCTCAGGAGCAAATTACCCTCCTTCATCCCCAGCTCCTCCTTTCGTCACAGTCAGGACTTGGCTTTCTGATATTCCTTGTTTCCTGAAACAGACTCCTTTTATCTTGAATAATGTTGTTACACAAAAATTGTAATTTAGTAACAGTAGTAAATAGTAAAGTAACAGTAATGATGCTACATTTTGGTTCTGTTCTGTTTACCTTAAGGGGGTTATTGCTGCTTTTTACCCAGCATTTACCCAGAACAGAACCATACCACCAATCCAAACTGTATGCTAAGTGTCAATTATTTTTGTCAAATATATTTTGACGATAGTGGTCCTGACAGAACTAATATTATTCTCTGCTCATTCAACCTTTGTTTCTGATTTCTGCTCTTCCCTGGTGTCCTCTATCTTCATTTTGGGCTGACAGAAGACTGTTGATACAAGATGAAATGTACCAAAACACTTATTTTGGGTAACAGACAAAATTCTGTTGATGGGTTTTGGGTACCAGCACAAAAGGGGATATTTTCCGGTGTTGTCTGGGGTTGGATCTAATATACTTGACATGGAGACTCGATCTAATATTGTTGGCGTTATTGGCAGGATGTCAGCATATCTAACAGTGTTAAACGTGGCATCCCAGTGCACAGCGAACCACGGAGATGGAAATTTCCACTTACATTAAAGCTGAAGTTGACCATGTCTGACTTTAGCTGGAAACCGTAGATGCTCAGCGAAGCATCAGACCGCATTACAATCTGAGCACAAACAGGCAAAACGCATGCAAACGCTGCGGTAACGAGAGAACATGCATCTGCCTGGAGCAGAGCCACGCTTGAGAATAAAACAATTCTCTGTGACGCACTCTGGAAAACAGCACTGCTGTTGGTCTTGTTTGGTTTATGAGGCTAAAAGATGTTCGAGAAAACAGATGTTCGAGATTCTTATCTGATCTAATGAACCAGTCACAGTCACATATTGCGTACGAAAGGGTGAACGATGTGTGATGGTATTAGAGTGAGTCATTTTGTTGGCGTCACTTGACTGGAATTAAGCTTTTGGAAATAGATAATAATACACCCACAGTTGTTTCTAACGTGTTTATTTATGTATTAATTTTTCAAATCCTCGTCCCACGCTTATTGGCCCATCTTTAGATTCAGGCGTTCATTTTAGTCACTATTACTCTGTTAAGGCTGACGTTGGAATGAATAGCGTTTTCCATTTATTTATTTTTTTACATTTTCATTTTCCTTTGTCACTGTGATGACAAAATAGCTAAAAACATCATCCGGCCAATAACAAATCATCAAAATGTTTTTTATATTAACAGAAAATTGGCGGTAAGATGTCGAGTGATGAGTTTGAAATGAGAATTAAGAGCGAATACAGGCCTCGCACACAATCATGAGGATGAATGGAGGATTGTAGGTACTTGAGTGGAATTGGCAGGAGGATTCTCATTAATTCCGATCAGTCTAGTAGGTCAACAGGCTGCTGGTCATGTTTGCTTTCTCATCTTAATTTGTGCAAACAGGATCAGTAAACAAGTGGTCTGTTACAGTTGGGGAAGGAATATAATTGTAAACTGCAATCTCCTGTATGTATTGTGTTGGGACGAGAGATCTATTTTTAAGCCATTTGCATTTGCATCAAACTGGAACAAGGTCTGCGTGGTTTATTCGGCTTAATTAAGACCAGGGCTGTGGAGACGTAATGAAGCCAGGCTTGTGCGGATCTCAGCGTAGAACTCTTTCGAGGTTTGCTTAAGTACGCTCTGCTGTTCTTCAAAGAAACCCGTCTGGAAGAGAAGTCTTGAGAGACAGATCACAAGGAAGGGTTTTTCTTGTTTTAATCATGTTTAGGAAAGGTGCAGAAACAGAAAAGATGTAGATAAATGTGATTTCTTGGCTTATGCTGACAGAAGAACTACGCAGCATGATGAGACCGTTAGCTTTATAAAATTAGAAGCCCAAAACATCTGTTTTTTTTTTTTAAAGGAGGAAAGAAAATTAGGGAATTTAATATCTGATAATGTTCAGAAGAATCCCTAGCTAGGCGGTAGTCAGATTTAACGTGGAAGAAGTTTG